GGAAAAGGCATTCCCCAAAACTCTTCAGTGAAGGCTACGAACTCCAAAATGTCCCAAGGAGCCACAGTAAACAGCAACAACAGCAAACCCTGGGATATGGATTTGGGGTTCAGTGCTTCCCACCAACAATATGGACAGAAAAATAAAAGGCAAAACCTACAAAGAGTTTACAATACCTAGGTACTAAGAAAGGGTCTAAAAATAAATGTTCTTGCTTGTGTCCACGAGAAAAACAGACACCGAGGAGTTAACATCTTCAGCTCAAGGAATCAGGTAAGGATGTCATTACTACTTAGTCCATGGCTCCCATTGGTTCTTTTAAACCTCACTGTCTCCTCTATTAATGAACAATTTGAAACCCTTCAATTTTATCATAATAAAGACTTTTGAAGACCAAGCTGCTCCCCAACCCAGGAAATGTGACCAGAGCCTTCAATCAAGACAGGTATTCATAAACTAGGTAAAGCAATCAGCAACTTCCCAGGACAGCTGAAACCTATGAAATTTAGCCCTCTGGCTTCCAAGTTGCTTTATCTGTTCTAGTGGGCAAAGAAAAATAAATAATCCTCATGTACAGAACACTGATCTATTTTGAAGTGCCAACTAATACATATTTTATTTTAGCCTCTCAGCTGCTGGCGGGGGGGGGGAGGACTTTGTTAGAGTGACAGGCAAAAAAATACAGTCCATTTCTTTTCTCTCTGGAGACACGAAAGCTAGGGAAATAAAACATGTAGCTATTTAAAATGCTGTTACCAGGTACAGTGTCTTGAAAGCACCTCTCATTCTGCCCACTGTGGGACTGTAAAAATTTAGCAGCAGTAGCAGAATGCCCCTAAGCCAAGATGCAAGGAAGGACTCCTTGCTGGACTTCATAAAAACAACACAAGGGACCCATCAACTCTCACGTCCCTAAGTGAACTGGTAGTAGGACTGTAACCAGAGATGTGAACTTGGTCAAATGACAAACCAAGCCAGATAGTAAAGGGCACTTATAAGGGATGTTACACCCTATTCCTGCTTTCTACTATGACCACATAGGAGGATTTCAAGATATATGAAAAATGTAAATAACCTTACTCCAAAACTTCTAAATTCCCACTAAATTTTCAGCACTGTAAAACCATACATAAACAAGACTTTTTCTTATTAACAGATCCCAATATTTTCATAAACTTCCTAAGGATGGCAGAAAATCAAACTGTTTTTTTTATTTCACTGTATTTTCTTTTCAAGAATAGTTTGATTTTTAGAGAGAGGGAAGGGAGAGGGAGAGAAACATCAATGTGAGAGTGCAACATCGATCGGCTGCCTCCTGCAGACCCCCTACAGAGGATGGAGCCTACAACCCAGCATGTACCTTGGGAATCCAACCAGCAACCTCCTGGTACATAGGACGATGCCCAACCGAGCCACTACAGCCTGGGCTCACTATATTTTCTTTTGATTTGTTCACCTAAGTGGTATATAATAAACATCTATGTTTTATTACATTTAAAGTGATCTATATAAATATGTATAATATATGTCTGTTTGGTAAGAATACATTTTTCATAGTTTTTATTTTTTCTGAGTGATAGATGAAATAACTATGCATTTTACAACCAATGACATTTTGTATAATTTTTTAAATTTATTTTTTATTGAATGTATTGGGGAGACACTAGTTAATAAACTTATATAGATTTCAGGTGTACAATTCTGTAATAATCATCTGTATGTTGTTTTGTGTGTTCACAACCAATGACATCTTAAATTTTATGAAATAAGGCAGTTAACATAAGTCAATACCCTCCCTTACTTTGTTGTACTGCTACCAAATACCATGTTTTTGGGTAATGTGGTCACATTACAGCATCATAAGTTTTATGTTTAATATATCTTCAAATTCATTTACTATAATTTTATGATAAAATCCTCGAAGACTGTTAATTTTTTTTTTCCTCTTAAGGAAACAGATTTGCTTTAGATATGGGGTTTTGAAGAAGAATCCAAATTAGGGACAGTCAGTCTCTACATCAGATATTTACACTGAGTAGAATGAGTTTCAACTACATACAGCCTAAGACTCTATTTATAGCACAAAGAACCATGGAACTCTTTACAATTAATTTAAGCTCTGTGTTGGGTTTTATTTCCCATTTTGCAGTTCCTTAATGATGCCAATGATACTTAATTCTAAATACCTGGAAAGAACTAGGACTGATGTGAAAACTCAAAACTAAGTGTGGCTCACCCAGCCGGTGTGGCTCACGGGTTGAGCATCCACCCATATACCAAGAGGTCCTTGGTTTGATTCCCGGTCAGGGCACATGCTCAGGTTGTGGGCCCAGTCCCCAGTGAGGGGCATGCAGGGGGTGGCCAAAACAATGCTCTCTCATCGATGTTTTTATCTCTCCCTCTCCCTTCCTCTCTCTCTCTCAAAATCAATAAGGAAAATAAAAAAAAACAAGTGTGGCCCTAACCAATTTGGTTCAGCAGTTAGAGCATCAGCCTACAGATGGAAGGATTTTGTGCACATACATGGGGGAGGCAACCAATCAATGTGTCTCTCTCACATCAATGTTTCTTTCTCTCTCTCCCCCTCCCACTCTATCTAAAAATCAACAAAAAAATATCCTTGGGTGAGGATTAGCAAAAATAAACAAACAAAAAAACTAAGTGTGGTAGGCAGTTAGACAGACTGTTCACGAACAGCACAAGGATGATGGGCCAAATACAGAAGGTCACCAGGGTGGAAAGCGAGCAAAACTGAGAAAATAAGGACTTTGCCCCCATGGTAACCTTCTCTCACCCAGTATACTGCTGGTTATGTGGCTTAGACCCCTGACCTTTCATATCGCTGGCCATGCAGTTCTGACCCTCCCCTGACCTTTCCTCCCCTGGCATGTTGCTAGTTATGTGTGTTAGACCACCTTGGAGGGGGAATGAAGAGAGGGGCTGGAGAATAGCCCTTAAACATTAAACCCCCAGGACAATGAGGTTCTGACCCACATAAAATACATCTAAGCCTCAGTTGTGTTTCAGTTCTAGGCCCAGAAAAGCAGAAAAACCAAACAAGCGAAGCCATGGCTGACATAGGACCAGCTGCATTAACTAATGACCGCCTACCCTGGTGCCAACCAATCAGTAAAGACCATGACCCTGAAAGGACACACCTGGAAAGCTGATGAATTTTCTATTGGGATCCTCCCCTGAGACCTCCTGATAAATACCCTTACGAGGAGGACCCAGAGCAGGAATATCTATGGAGCAGGTCTGCGCCTTTACTCACCTCCTTTCTCTGGGCACATTTTCCTTGCTTCTTTATTTCTCTTAAGCTGCAGGGGCCCTTCTGTAACTTGTTCCCTCAGCCAACACAGCTCAGCTGGCTCACTTCTTTCATGGCTCACTTCTTCTACCTCTGTGACTTTCTAAATAAACTTCTACTTGTGTTTAAGTCTTGGCTATGAATTCTTTCTTAGCCAAACCTCAAGTACTGAGGTTGCTGAACCAATGTCCAATGGTCGGCAACATTCTGGTGCCATTTTGCGGCCAAACAAAAGGAGAGACTAGACTCTGGTATCCTGTCTTCTCTGATATCCTGACCTACTATACTTTGTCAGGTCAGGAACCTGGAACACTGGCTTCAGTAACTACCCTTGTGCTTGATATCTATTCATCCTCACTAAATATCTCCTGTAGTTTCTAAGTTAGATAGTAAAACATCTCAGGATCTTGATTTCAGATCTCATTCTACATCCCCACCTCAAAGCACCCAGACTGAAGACATAACAGGCTTGGTGCAAAACTATGAAACAGCCCTGGCCGATCTGGCTCAGTGGTTTGAGCATCGGTCCTCAGCCCAGGGAGGCCTGGGTCCCTTCCCGCTGAGGGCGTGTGCCTCGGTTGCAGCTTGTCCCGCCCGGCTGAGGTTGTGTGGGTGGCAGCCAGTCGATGTGTCTCTTACATCGATGTTTCTCTCTCTTCCCCGCTCTCTCCCTCCCACTCTATATGTCCCCGGGTGAGGATAAAAAATAAAAAACAAATTTAAAAAATATGAAATATGTGGGAAGGAGACCCAGAGGATTGTAATAAATTAATCTGCAGCTGACAAGGGCTCCACACTTCCAGAACTTACGAGTTAATTTCGCTTCAGGATTCGGATGAGTGTGACTACCCACGACCGTGTTCCAATCCCACTTCCAACACCCTGCCTGAGCTGTTGCCAGAATCCAGAGTGTTCTCGAAAAACACACTCACTCAGCAGCTCCCTTGGCTAGTCCGCCTGCAGTCTCCAGCCACTGCAGCTGCCCAGCAGTGTCGACAGCGCCCAAGCAGCTGCCCTCTTCCTCGCTGCTTAAGTTAGGAAGGAGCAATAGTCCTGAGAAGAACGAGGGTATTACTCAGGAGGGGGTTGGAAGGATGGAGACAGAGGAGTCTGACGCGTAGAACATGAAACAAGCCCCTCACTTTTCTTCTCTATCATTTTCGACTTCTGGGGTACCTGGGGGGAGGGGGCGACCAGGTCAGCAGCGAAGACACACAATCACCTCAGACCCAGACTAGCGCTCGCTGGGGTGCAGCTAATGAAGAAAAGGGTGAGACGGGCACGGGCTTTGGAGATGCCAAGTGCTGATAGGCAACAATGCACAGAAGTTAAGGCGGGGGTCGGGGGCGATGGAAGGAAGTTGTCATTGTCGCCGCGCCGCCTCCCCCACCCCGCAACAGACCTCAATTTCCCTCGGAGACCAAGTCTCCACCGTAGGGACGACCTTCCTCTCTGCCGGAGAACGATCGATACCTCAACTCCCCAGCCAGGCGGAAGCGGGAAGGGAGAGCCGACCTCCGAGAGCGCCCCTTCAGGGGGTCCATCCGGACTGGATCTCGAGCGGGGGGGAGGGAGTCCGCGGAGGGCGGGGCATCGCCTCCACAGCTAGGAGCTGCATCCCAGCAGGGACGGGTTACCCAGAGCCAGGAAGCTGAAGCTCGCCCCTTCCATTACCCTGCCACCCGGTTACCTCTTTGCTCCTTCTTCGTCGGGAAGCGCTGGTTCGGTCGCCGCCATTACCACATCGCACTCCGCGGCAGCCGCCATCTTACCGCCTAGACCAGAGAGCCGGGTGGGAGGCCGGCGGTGAAGAGCACTTCCGGTAGGAGCATTGAGCTGCTCAGCGGCGCCGTGCCCAGAGGGGCGCCCTCGGCTCCGTCTACCAGCGAGAGGCTCTGCTTGGGGCCAGAGCGGCCTCCCGTCCCCGGAGGTCCACGGTGGTCTCCGCGACGGGGCGGGGCCCCAGGGACGGTTCCTGTGCGTGGGGGGCGCCACTTTAACCGTGGGTCGGAAGGTGGTACAGGAGGGTGTCGCCTCTCTAGACCTGGACTTTCCTCAGTATTCCGAGAGCCTCGTTGCCATAGCAACTTCCAATCCTAGAGCGTCTTCTGTAAGGTTCAGGGGGCTCTGAGTTGGGTGGGGACCCGATGACCCAAGACTCTGGAGGAAAAGAGCCCCCCCACTACTACCTTCCCGATCTTGGAGTGTGTCCACTGCTTCCTCCCGGGAAAGGCAAGAAGAGACACTTTGAGCCCGGTTCCCCAGCTTTCATCGGCCCTTGGAAGCCCTGCCCAACCAAGCCAGGGGAACGCAGGGCGTCTTCACCCCGCGCCTTTCATCCCCTCTGGATCTCCAAGCACCAACTGGTTCATCACCCTAATGACGCTGACTCTTTTATGATGATGCTTTCATGTCAGCCGCCTGTGAATGCCATCTCAGCATCAGGCCTAGGAAGAGTGGCACAGCGACCCAGACCCTGCCCTGGAATTTATAAGGCAGCTCACAAGGGTGAGGCCCCTGCCCAAGGTCCCCAGTATTCCACCCCTCGTAAAAACTGCCTGTTCAGCACGCTTGTCTTGCTGAATGCTTCTGGATTGGGAACTCATAGAGGGCAGGGACACAGCCTAACCATCTTTGTAGTACTTAACCTCGCCCAAACCAATAATATGTGTGGACTTGAATTAAATCGGGGTTTTCTGAGGTTAAACTGAGGGAGTTTGAGGTTAAAAATTTAAATCTATAGGGAACTAAAATAATAAGGGTGCAAGGGAATTAAAAAGGGATCTTAGCCCTGGCCGGTTTAGCTCAGCGGTTAGGGCGTCGGCCCACGGAGCAGAGAGTCCCGGGTTCTATTCCTGCTAAGTGCAAGTAGCTGGGTTGCAGTTTGTCCCCCGCCCCTGTTGGATGTGTCTCTCTTACATCAATGTTTCTCTTTCTTTCTCCTTCTCTCCCTCCCGTTCTATCTGAAGATAAATGCAAAAATAAATAAATAAAAATAAAAGGGATCTTATCCTATTCCTCCAGTAAAACTATGTGCCATTGAGCATAGGCTGCTTGCGTGGTCCATGACTATCAGAGTGCCAAGGAAACTGAAACCAAACTTACCATTAGGTAGGGGAGAATGGGAGGAGCTCAGTGGATTGGAAGAGAAAGGTCCTTTATCCAGCCCTTGTGTCCTGCCTGCCAGTAGCTCACAATCCACAGTCTAATGCAAGAGGAAGTCTTTCACCATCTTCCCCATTTTGTGTTCTCTGTATCTAACCAACTCATCTATACACACAGCTTTAACTTTATTTGTTGGTGACTCTTAGTGTTATCTCCAACCTGGACTCTCTTCTGAGTTCACATCTGTATATGCAACTATCTACAGGTATCTTTTGCATGTTTCACAAATCCCTAAAGCTTTACATGTTTAAATTGAACTTGTCATTCTCTCCCCACCCTTCAATAACAACAAAAACACATGCTGTACTTGATTCTTTTCCGAATTCCTTATCTTTTTAAAAAATAGGTTATTGATTTTTGGAGAGAGAGAGGAAGGGAGAAGGAGAAAGAGAAACGTGAGATGAGAGCAGAACACCCATCATCTGCCTCCTACATGTTCCCTACTGGGGGTTGAACCCAAAACCTAGGCACGTGTCCTGACCAGGAATTGAACCAGCAACCTTTCAGTGCATGGGACAACACCCAACCAACTGAGCCACGCTGGACACGGCTTGAATTCCTTATCTTATTGAATGGATTCACCATTCACCTGGTCATCAAATGAGAAAGGGGCGACATCATGAATTCCTCCCTCTTTCTCACTCCTGACTCCCAGTTTATCATGAAATCCTGTTGATTTTCCTACCAGAAGTATCCCAATTCTGTCCCCTTTCCATCCCAATTCAGGCTGTCATTTTTTTTTTATATATATTCTTTTCTTTATTGATTTTAGAGCGAGAGGAAAGGAGAGGGAGAGAGAGATACAAACATCAATGAACGAGAACATTGATTGGCCGCCTCCTGCATGCCTCCCACTGGGGATTTGGCCCACAACCTGGGCAAGTGCCCTGACCAGGAATCGAACCAGTGACCTCTTGGTGCATGGGTCAATGCTCAACCAGTGAGTCAAATCAGCTGGGCTGTCATCATTTTTTTAAAAAAAAACTTGGAATACTAGCGAAGTCTCCTAACTTGCACCCAGTTTCCTAACTGGCACCCCCAGTCTCCTCTCTCTCCAGTCTTCAGAAATTGATCATGTTACTTCAGTAAAACCTACCGATGGCTTTTCACTGCTGTTAGGATACAGTTTGAAATCTTTGGCCTACTACACAAGGCCTTTGATTATTTGGTTCCTTTCTACCATCAATATTGAACCCAAGTACTTGTAGTTCCAGAAAAAGGCCGTGATTCTTTGCCATGTTTTCTTTATTCTTCAAACCTCAAACCTCAACACAGACAACCTACTCCAGGAAGTTCTCTGTGATGCCCACTGCCCCCAAGTTAAATGCCCTCTGCTGTGTTCCTATAGCACTTGTGTAATAGTTCTTACCATGCTGTACTGTAATTTTTAAAATTTATTAATTTATTTTTGTTACAGATGTTTCTCTCCCCCCCCCAGAGGCCCTCCTCCTGCTCCTGCCCCCCCCTAACATTGTTGTCTATGTCCATTGGTTACGCATACATGCATATAAGTTCTTTGGTTTATCTCATCCCTCCCCTTCGCCCCCCTGTAATTGTTTTTATAAGATGTCTAGCTCCTATAGACAGTAATGTTCTAACGGGCATCTGTGGTATCTGATTCCTCTGCTTTTCCAGATACGTGGTCCCATACCTGGCACAGAACAGGTGCTCACAATACACTTGATGAATAAACAGTTGCATAAGTGAAGTATTACTGTACTATAGTAGCCTTTTTTAAAAGATTTTTTTATTGATTTTTAGAGGAAGAGGAAGGGAAAGGGGGAGAGAGAGAGAAACATTGATGTTGAGAGCAAAACATCCATTGGCTGCATCCTGCACACCATCCACTGGGGATCAAGCCTGAAACCCGGGTGTACCCTGACTGGGAATGGAACTGGCAACCTTTCGGTGCAGGGGACAATGCCCAACCAACTGAGCCACACCAGCCAGGGCTATAGTAGGCTTAAAAGAAAGAACATATGATCAGACAAGAACTCACCCGGGGAACCCTTGACCGTGTCCTCGCGTGCACCAGTCCGGTCCGGCCGTCATTTCTCCCGCCGGCCTCTGGGGGCGCTGGGCTATAGCTCCTGCTCTCGGCCCCGGGAATTCGTCCTGCCGTTTGGAAGCTGAGGGGCGGGACCGGACAGAGCCCAGATCCGCCCGGAAGGACGGGGTCATTGCGGCTTTGCTGGCCCTCCCCTGGTCCCGGCGCGCCTCTGGGGCTCACACCCGGGTGCTGCGAGGGCCCCGGGAGGTACGGAGCTGGAAGGTTGGGATCGGCCACCGCTTCGGGGCCGCTTTAGCTGGCAGATCTTTGCCGCCATAGATTCCCCCTGGCGGGGGTCCCCTGTGGGGAAATCTATACGGAGCCCTTTGGGCGGGGGAGGGAGGGTCTGTATCAGGAGTTTCCTCCGGAGAGGTTTCTGCTTGGAATCCCTTAGGGGGTGATCTCTAGCTCTGCTCTCTGGAGGAATCCGTCTGGGGCTACTTCTGGGGAGCCTGTCTTTTGGGATGCCTTGGAGATCTCGGGGACCTCTTCGGCGAAGGGGTTTCTGCGTCTGAGCCGTCTCATCCGGGCCTGCCAGTCTACGGGCGGCAAAAATTGTCTCTTTTCCGGAGCCTTTTTTTCCTTAGATACCTTCACTTCTTTCTTGTCTGATGGTCTTCATAGCCATGGACTTGACTAGGAATCTTATTTGTTCACCAGGAAGAGTAGCTTAAGACAGACCCGTACAAAAGAGTATTCCTGCTTATCTCTCCGCGGCGGGGAAGGGGGGATCGTCATGGGTAGAGAGGAAGCTGAGCACGAGCTCCCTTCAGTAACTGGTCCTCCAAGTTCTGTCTACGGAGAGGAACCTCACCAGTGTCTCATTCAAACCAGCATCTCGCTATCCCCTTTATGGCAACATTTACTGAGCATCAAGTTACTGGTCAGGTACATGGAATAACAAAGACGAATAAGGTACAGCTCCTGCCCTGGCCACTTTGGCTCAGGTTAGAGCATCGGCTCTCAGACCAAAGGGTTTCGGGTCTGTTCTGGTCAAGGGCATGTACCTGGGTTGCAGGTTTGATCCTCGGCCTCAGTCGGGGTTGTGCCGGAGGCAACCAATGGATGTCTCTCTCACATCGATGTTTCTCTCCCTCCCTCCCACTCTCTCTAAAAATCAATGGAAAAAGATCCTCGGGAGGATTAACAACAACATAAAAGATATAGCTCCCTGTCCAGTAGTGGCAGTGGACATAGACACATTTCTGACTAGAGTAGAGGACAGTACTGAACCCCATGAGGCTATGCATGCAGTTCAGAACCTGGGCTCTCAGTTACGGCAGGACCGCCCTCTGTTTTGATCCCACCTCACACAGTGTGCTTCTGTTCTTCAAGGCTGAAGGCTAACCATGGGAAAGAGTTGCAAGGTGGTCGTGTGTGGCCAGGCATCTGTGGGCAAAACATCAATCCTGGAGCAGCTTTTATACGGGAACCATGTAGTGGGTGAGTGTTTTTTTTTGGGGGGGGGGTGAGAGGGAATGGTGAAAGAAGTTAAAGAATAAAGAGTAGGATTTGATAACACACAGAAGCTAAAGTATGCCCCTGGAGTAAAATCTACATCATCCCCTCCAGCTCCAAAACATTGAGATGTGGAGGAAGGAAGCCCAATATCCGAGATAAGGAGGAAAAGCTCCTAAGTCTCACTTTTGCTTAGCATGGTGTGAACATGAAATTAATGTGTATTCTCCTAAGTCATTCCAGTCCTGCCAGACTTGGTCTGGCCCCCTCTCCTCAGCTTCCATTTCCTCCTTGTCTGGTCATCCTGTCAGGATATACTCAGTCACTCATGTTCCCCATCTTCCTTCTCCCTACAAACAAGTTTTCCCCTCATTTTATCCTAGGTTCTGAGATGATTGAGACACAGGAAGACATCTATGTGGGCTCCATTGAAACCGACCGGGGCGTGCGGGAGCAGGTGCGTTTCTATGACACCCGGGGGCTCCGAGATGGGGCTGAACTGCCCCGGCACTGCTTCTCCTGCACTGATGGCTACGTCCTGGTCTACAGCACAGACAGCCGAGAGTCCTTTCAGCGTGTGGAGCTGCTCAAGAAGGAAATTGACAAATCCAAGGACAAGAAGGAGGTGTGTTTGGGAGCCCTGGTGGTGAGAGAGACTGAGCCCTGGGCTGGCTTTGTGAGGCTTGGCAGGGCTCTGTCTTTTACTCATTTGCCAGGAGATGGGTTAGGAACCAGAGGAGGGATGGAGGCCACTGGAGGGTGTCTTCACCCATAGAGGTGGCCCCTTGCTGAGGCAACTCAACCCAAGTGGCTTCTCTCTTCCATTTAAGAGGTCTCCAACCTAACACATGAAGCCCCCATTAGTCTTTCTTTATAATGGTTCCATACTCTTAGTTCTGAAAGCCCTTCTTTTCTCAAGTTCACCTTTAAGCTGCAGGCATTCTGGGAGTGCTTCCTCACCAGTTGTTTAGCTAAAGACAAACTCACTGTTAGTAATGACCAGGCATGAGTGACTCAGGGCTTGTAATGGAACCCTGGAGGGAGGGCCAGATGGAGGCCAGGGTTTGAACAGAGGAAGGAGAGGAAAAAGCAACCATCTCCCTCCCCTCACTTCATGGTTTCTAATATAGGATGAAATGAGATATCAGCCATTAAGACTTTCCTTCTCTTAGGACTCTTAGGTGGAGGGCAGCCTTCACACTCATTCCTAAGGTCCATGGTACATCCACAAGTCTCTACTCTGTCCCTCTTCCCCAGGTCACCATTGTGGTCCTTGGCAACAAGTGTGACCTGCAAGAGCAGCGGCGTGTGGACCTGGATGTGGCTCAGCACTGGGCCAAGTCGGAGAAGGTGAAGCTGTGGGAGGTATCTGTGGCTGACCGCCGCTCCCTCCTGGAGCCCTTCATCTACCTGGCCAGCAAGATGACCCAGCCTCAGAGCAAATCCGCCTTCCCCCTCAGCCGCAAGAACAAGGGCAGTGGTTCTTTGGATGGCTGAAGAGCGCCCATCCCTACTTCACCTTCCCAACCCCAGCCCAGCCTCTGGGGCTTTGGAAAATGGGTTGAGGGGAAAGGGGAACTCCCCACTAGGGCAGGCAGCTGGGCCGTTCCAGGCTCAGGCCACTTTTGCTCCCTCCTAACTCTGGGAAGTGCAAATAATCTAGGTTAGTGCCCCCAACCTCTTCCTCCACCCCAGCTTTCATCATATCTGTTCCTCTGTGACCTGGAGCAGTTGTGGGTCAGCGTCCCTTCCACCTGCCCTGCATGGGAAGCAGAGCTACCATACAGAAGTGCCAAGTCTAGGGCTGGTTCTGATCATGGGTCCCGCACCTCTGTGCTTCAGCCACACACACAAACACTATGGCACCAGCCTGGACTCAGAGAAAGGGCATCCAGGTATTGTGTATGTGTGTGCATACTGGTGTTAGGGGTGCCTCCTCATTCAGCACCCTGACCTTTTTTCTGTTTGTACCTTGGCTGGAAGAAGCCAGCCTCTTGAGAAGTGTGATCTTCTACTTGACCTCCTCCCCAAATTGTTGCACTTCCACTTCCTGCTTACAGAGCAGATGGCCCTCATTGGTTGAGGTGGAATGATCGCTGGGCTGAGTCACCAACGGGCTCTGTGAGCCAGCAAGGCTTTTCTTCTCTCTGGGCTTCAGTTTTCTCATCTGTGTGGTGACAGGAGTTGCTTAGATGACCTTCTAGGTCCTCTCCCAGCCCTGTTATTTTATAATGCCCATGGCTTAGGGCCAACTGACTGTACCCTTTGCTTCTCCCTCTTCAAGGTGCTATGCCTATCTGCCCTGGAGGCTGGGACACTGCTCTTTGACAACCGCCAGGGGGCAGGAGTGCACTATCCACTCTAATTGCCAGAATGGCTGCTTAGTGCCCATTGGGGAACCTTACACCCATGGGGGCTGGTCTTCACCCCTTCCTGTGGTGGTTTTCAGTTACTAGCTGGACTTTATTTATAAATTACCTGTTATAAATTAGTATGCTGCCATGGTGAAGGCTGGACAAGGTGCTCTTCTAGCCCTTCTTACCTCAGGTGCCTCAACAGAACAAGGCAAACAAGTAGTAGCTTCTCGGGAGCTTACAGATCTGTTGGGGCTCAGAAGGGGGTTACACTCTCAACATGCTATAATGTGAGCTATGACCCACAACTTCCTGTGCCCACTTCCTGCTTCTGATGGGCACAGCTACCATAGGTGAGCCCCTACAGCCCAGCCACCTCCAGTGCATGCCCCTTCTCCCCAAAGCAGGAGCGGTGAGCAGGGGCAGGCGGTCCAGGGCTGGGCAAGTCAAGTTAGGTCATATATAGGTTCGGCTTAAAGTTCATTTATTGATGCATTGGACACAATAAAATCACAATTGTTATCAAAAAGTTTCCTTCCCTTCCCCCCTTATTCTCCCATTGGAAATATCTTACAAAAAAAAATACAGGTGGATACTGGCAAAGTCCCATATTGTGAGGTGAGGGGAGCAGTGCTAGGGTAGGATGGAGGTTGTGGCATTGACTTTGACAGCGTGAAATGGGTCTGTAGAATTATCAGACTGGATCCCAACACTCAGCTTCACAGTGAGGGAGGCTTGGGCTGCTGGTTGGGAGGAGGGAAAGCTGAATTTAGTGCTAGGGACCAGTTGAGGCTGAAGGGCTAGAGAGGAAAGCTCTTCATTTGGGGCCCCTGGGGGGATTCAGTGTTAGCTGGGTCCATAGTCTGAGGGATACCCAGTGCCCCCCACCCCAGAGCTGGGGTTCAGAAGAAATCAGTAAAACACTAAGAGAAGGTTGATCACTTCCTCTATTAAAACTGGACCCAGCTAGAACATCACTATCACTACCCCTGTCCTAGCCCCATTGGAGCAAATGAAGACCCCCCCAAAAGCTTTTGACATCAGCCCCTACCATGGCTGTGCCCCACTTCAGCACGGCTCCCTTTCTCCTCCAGTCTTCCACCACACCCCCATGGTCATCTTGTCCAGATAGCATTGAACCGACTCCAGCTTGAGAGCCCATCCCTCATCTTGTCATTCTCCAGAGAATCCAGTGAATGGGAAGGGCCTCCCTGGTACATGGGAGTGGAGATCAGTCACAGACTTGTTCCCAGGAGAGGAGTTAAGATTTCTAGGGCCTTTGGCCATGTGGGTATAGATTTTGACAAGGGAAAAGGAGAGCACCATGGGGCTGGAGCTAGAATTTTGCATAGATCTCTGGGATTTCTCAGTTTGCTCCCTGTAAATCAGGCTGGAAATGCAGGGGAGCCCAAGACTAGCCCTAGATGATGGGAAATGAGGGTGAGGATGGCTCTTGGCCAGGGAGTATTTGAATCGCCAGTCGGGCGGAGTGAGGGGCAGCTGCCCTTAAAACTAGCCCAGCTCTTCCTGGATTGGTCAGGAGCCCCTAGGCTTCAAGAACATCACCTGTGGGCTGTAGGAACTGAGGCATCTTGGGGAGAAGAGGGTGGGGAGAGGGACTGCTGAGAAGTCAATCCCGGCCTCCCTAGGAGGGCTAATAAGGGGCAAAGAGGATAGGTCCTGTGGCAGGGCGGACAGCTCCTGCTGGGGTGCGGAACAGAGCTGGGCCCAGGATCGGAGCTGGGAAGAGGGTGGTGGTTGTGGTTGGGGCAGGCCGGAGGGCCAGGGGCCCTGGCAGGGCACAGATGGCCGTGGCTGCAGTGGGGATCGGGCTGGGCAGGAAGCGGGCTGCCAGCGTCTTGGTGAGTTGCTTCTGCAAGGCCAGTTTAGACTGCAAAGAAGAGAGAGGACTGAACACAGTCTGACCCCAGAAAACACCCCTGCCCTAGGCTCCGTCCTTGGGTTTTTTTGCTGCAGGATAAACATGCCTTTTAGGGTTCCAAACCTAAATCCTCCTCCCTTCCCGCCCCCAAACATTCATTCCAAAGGGCTTTCTCCACCAGCTGTCTTCCTGCTCAGAAGAAAGAGAATCATGATGGGCCAAGGGAGGAGACTATGCTGGGTGTAGGAGAGATGGTTTCTAGGAGATGGCACAGAATGTCCATCCCTTGCTTTGCCCCTGAGATTCCTACCTAGGCGACCTCCCGGAAATTCCTCTGGGCAGATCCCAAGATAGCCCAAACCCAACCCCAGCTCTTTCTCTGCCCAGGCAGCGTCAGAAAGGGGGTGGCTTTATTCCTGCCTCAGCTCCCCAGCAGCCCCCACCAATCCCGTTCCCAGCCCACCTCCCTGTACCGGGGTCCCAGCCCTGTTGCCTGGAGACAGATACCTTGAGGATACTCACAGCCAGCGCTGCATGCTTCTGCAGCTTGCTGTGCTGGCTGGAGGGCTTGGGGGGCTTCCCGGCCAGGCGGTCTTTGTGCCTCCTGCTGCTCAGGTGCTAATGGACGGACCAACAGACAAACTGAGAACAAGATGAGGAAGCCCAAGGACTCCCAACTCCCCACCATCCTCAATTAGCTCACCCCTCTCTACCCACAGTTCACACACTGAACCTACATTTCTGGGGCATCACCTGGAGTGGCCCTGGGAAGGGGAGCTAAGAATTGGCCTTTGCCCTCCAGGGGCCCACTGTCCCGCTAGTCTTGCTCTTCTTCCTCCACCTGGCCCTGCTCTACCCACCTCACCTCAGGACACCTCCTTCCTCCTCCCCTGGCACTGGTCCCGCTCCCTCACCCCTGCTCAAACCCTAGTCCCACCTGCTTGAGTTGGGTCTCTGAATTGACCTGGAGCTGACAGACAGCACAGTGAAAAGGGGGGCTAGGCCCCTGCTGGCCCCCCCGGCTTCCAGTCGCTCTCTTGGCCTTGTGTCCAGCTCCTCCCCGGGGCACTGGGCGGCCCCGGCCCTTTCGGGGAGCCCCTCGCTGACCTTCCACCATCCACCGGTGCTTGGCTCCTGGCGGAAGGAAAGGAGCCTGTCAGCATGGAAGGGGGGCTGCAAGGGCCACGGAGACCCTCCGAACTGGGTCAGTTTGGTTGTCCCTTTAGCTCTGAGGCTGCTCAACCACGAAATTTCGCTCATCTCCACAAGATCCTTCCAGCTTATCTCATTTCAAGCCATCCTCCCCCAAGAAAGGCCTTCTTGCCCTGGCCGGTTTGGCTCAGCGGTTAGAGCATCAGCCCGCGGACTGAAGAATTGCGGGTTTGATTCCAGTCAAGGGCACGTACCTCGGTGGTTCAATCCCCAGCCCTGGTTGGGGTCATGCAGGAGGCGGCCAATTCATGTCTCTTTCACATACATGTTTCTCTCTCTCCTTCCTCCCTCCCACTCTGTCAATGGAGAAATATCCTCAGGTGAGGATTAAAAAGAAAAACAGGGCTTCTTGCAATGTAACTGGTCAGCTTCCCTTCTCTCATCTCAGTCCCTTCCTTTGGGTCTGACCTAGGAGAGATGGAGAAGGTGTCTCCTGTTGTCTCTGGAGTGACCCTTCGGTTCTTGCTTCTCTTCCCAATTCTCCCTCCGTGAGTATTAGTGGGAGGACCCAAAAACCTGCCCAATAACTGAGCACAACGCTTCAGTTACCAAGCCCCTGAGCAAAGCACCCAGAAACTCCAGCCTGTTCACATCTGGTGAGGAGCAGCCTTCCGCCCCTCTCCTTCCCCCACGCCAGCTGGTGAGGCACACTGACCTGTGTTGTGAGCCTGAAGCTGGGAGGCGGAGTTCACTGTCACCTTACACGTGGGGCAGTAGAGGCGCCCCTTCTCACTCCTGCCTTCCCCACTCGTACCGCTTCCCACAGCAGCAGCCACTGGCTCAGGCCCTGGCGCCTCTGTCTCAGGCTCTGGGGAGCAGGGTGGGCAGGAAGAAGAAGAAGAGGAGGAGGAGGAGGCAGCATCCAAGAGGTCTGAGTGGGCTGGCTCCCTGGGCGTCGAGTCTGGAGTCAGTGGTGGCTGGAGTGGGGAGCCAGGAGGAGGGTCTGCAGGAACTGCTGGGGAGATGGAAGACATCGGGTAAGAGGGTGAGGCCTGAGCTGATTCTGGAGACCAAGGTTTTAAGCACTGACATATTAGGGGTGGCATGGCAGAGTGGACGGGTCACTAGTGCAGGGGAGAGCAGCACTAGGGCCTCTTTGGGCCTTGGTTTCACCATCTGAAAGCATAAAGTTGGACAGAGTAATCTCAGAAAGCCCTTACAGCCCCGATAGTCTAGTTATTAGCTGTTAAATAAGTGGAAATCAAAAAAAGGTACTAGAATGTTCATAGAACACTTTTTTTTTTTTAGTTGTTGTTTTTTTTTTTTTTTTTTTGGTACGTGCCCCTATCGGGAACCAAACCCAGGACTCTTTGGTCTGCAGGCTGACGCTCCAACCGCTGAGCCAAAACGGCCAGGGCTGAACACTTTTTTTTTTTTTTTAAATTATAAAGCCAGTGTTTATTAAAATACATTTCATTTTTTAAATGCAATAGACTCTACAGACACCCTCTATACACTTTTGGGGGGTGGGATACCTTGTATATTTCTGAAGTAGCATTGGCTCTAGATTACCTTCATACACATGGAACCACTCACAGGTAAAAACTGACTAATCTCCAGATTATTACTTAAAAACACAAATAATCAAACTATGTTTTAAATATTGAACACTATAAATAATAGCATGAAACTAGAAACTATTCAGATATTCATCAACAGGATAACAGGTTTTTAAAAAATCATTGTATGGCTCTGACCAGTTTTGCTCAGCAGTTGGAGCATTGGCCTGTGGAACAAAGGGTCACAGGTTGGATCCCCGGCCCTAGCCGGGGTTGTATGGGAGACAACCAGTCAATGTGTGTCTTTTACATCAATGTTTCTCTCTCCCCCTCCCTTCCTTCCTCTCTATCTAAAAATTAATAGAAAAATACCCTCAGGTGAGGATTAACACACACCCAATTGTATGGCCATATAGTGGAATACTACATGGCAATGGAAAAGGACAAACTACAGCACCCACCGCAACAACACAGAAGAATCTCATAGTGAGTATTAGGAATGTTGACGAAAGATGAATAAAACAGAGACACAAAAGTCTACATTCTATATGACTGATGATTGGTCTATGCTAATAAAAGTCAGGATCGCCCTGGCCGGTTTGGCTCAGCGGTTAGAGCGTCGGCCTGCGGTCCGGAGAGACCCGGGTTCGGTTCCCGCTAAGGGCACGTACTTCGGTTGCAGTTTGTCCCCGGCCCTGGTTGGTCGTGCGGGTGGCAGCCACTCGATGTGTCCCTTCACGTCGATGTTTCTCTCTCTCTCTCCCTTCCTCTCTCTCCCTCCCACTCTATCTGTACAAGAAATGGAAAAATATCCTCGGGTGAGGATAAAAAAAAAAAAAAAAAAAAAAGTCAGGATCATAGGTACTCTGTGGGGAGGCGTGTAGGAAGTTGAATAGTGTCACCCCAAAATTCACGTCCATCCAGAATCTCAGAATGTGACCTTATTTTGGAGAAAGGATCTTTGCAGATGTAATTAGTGAAGATGAAGTCGTACTGGATTAGGGTGGCCCTGACCCAGTGACTGGTGTCCTTGGACTATGTGAAGACTTTGATATGGGAGAATGGATGGATGTGAAGATGAGGCAGAGATTGGAGTGGTGCACCCTTTAGCCAAGGAATGCCAGGAACTGCTGCAACCATCAGAAGCTAGAAGAGGGGCATGAAACAAAGTCTCCCTCTCAGCTCCCATGAAGGAGCCAACCCTGCTGACACCCTGATTTCAAACATCTGACCTCCAGAACTGTGAGAACATACATTTCTATTGTTTCCAGCTCCCCAGTTAGTGGTCATTGGTTACAGCAGTCCTACAAAACTAATGCAACAAGGTCGTGGCGGGAGGGGCCCAAGGTGGGCTTCTGCTGCTTGAGAGAAGTTTCTTGCTGTCGATATATTCAGATGGGAAAGTGCACTGAGCTCCCCACTTGTGATGGGTGCCTTTTTCTCTATGTGGGAACACTCCAACACAAGCAAAAATAACAAGAAATCTCTCAACCTCTCGTCAGAAACTAGATTTGGAGCGGTGAGTGGGGAGTAGGGAGAAGAGTTCAGGACTGACCTTTGCTCTGAGGCTCTTCCGGGGCTCCACTGGCCACAGTCGGAGTCAGGGACACCAGTGTCCTGTCCGGGGCCAGGCTTTGGGGCCTCTGCTTGCTCTTGGCGGCTTCGATAGCCTTGAGTTTTCGGGCATGTTTGTGGCCTTTATAATGTGCTTCGGCCTGGTTCTGGAGTGGGAAGGGCATAGGGTCAACATTCATTCTCTGAGTCTACATGTCCCATCCACAAGCTGGCACTGGGAAGGGGGCAGGTCAGAGGGAGGCAGGGCTGGGGTCACACAAGGGGTGAATCCTTGTCATTGCCGCCGTCAGTATGGACATGGCCCTGAGGTTCATAGAACACATTTTCATACATGAGCTCCCAGGCAGGCAGCCTCTGGCTTTAAATTGTGACTCAGCCACTTAATAGCTGTGCCTCTTTGGGCAAAGATGCCTCTCCTAGCCTCAGTTTCCTCACTCATAAATTCCGTGGTAACACTGACCTCACAGGACTGTGAGATGAAATGAGAATCTGAATGATCAGTGCCTAGTACATACAGTAGGTGCTCAATGGATGTTAGTTACCAAGTTTATGAATATACAAATGGAGAAGACAGAGCAATCCTCACCCTTTGGGGTATGTGCACCCCAGAACATTCATCCCTTTGTTCATATTTTCAACAAATAGCTATTGAGCATTGGCTATTTGCCAGACCCAGCATGAAGACATAGTCCCTCTCCAAGAGTGAAGTCTCTCTGTCGGGCTTGTTCACAACTTATAACCTGAAAGCCTAGAGGGAACCCCCACATCTGGCCTGGCAGTGCCCTCCAGGGGTCCCTGCTTGTTGCTCCCAAATGCAGTAAAGACAGGCCCTTCCCTAGACATTTTCACCAGAACAGGTCAGCTGAGAGCATCTCCTCAAACCCCAGAGTTGCCTGGACAGAAGGTAAACCTGCCCTGGGGGGCCAGAATGAGGCTCCTTCACTATCCAGGGGCAGGCTGTGGTAGAAAGTATGCAGCCCTTAGGGTTAGCCAGGCCTGGTTCAGATCCCAGCTTTGCTACTTACCGCTGAGTAGCCTCAGGCAGGTTACTTAACCTCTCTGAGGCTGTTTCCTGATGATGATAATTGCACCTCTATCCACCTCACAGATGTATCATGAGAACTAATTAAGACAATAGGCATGAACAAACATATTCTGTAAACTCTCAGGTGCTTTAAGAACTCAGCTCCAGCCCTGGCCAGGTAGCTCAGTTGGTTAGAGCAGCGTCCCAATACGCCAAGGTTGCGGGTTCTATCTCTAGTCAGGGCACATACAAGACTCAACCAATGAATGCATAAATAAGTGAAACAACATATTGATGTTTCTCTCTCTCCCCCTCTAGTCAATAAATAAAAATAAAAATTTAAATAAAAAAGAACCAGGAGCTGATGGGGTGTCCTCTGGGACCCAGAGTGGGGAAGGGCAGTCTCCACATGGGAGAGAAGCACAGGGGAGGGAAATAGAGTCCCAGAGGGACTACCGAGGAAAGGGGCGGAGGACTCTGGATAGAGAAGAGGATGAATGGATAAAGGACCAGCAGTGCCTCTTTGGCAACCAGGGATGGAAAATACAGACCACAGTCCCTTTGCTCTTCCTATTCCCCTAGGAAAGACCCCAGAAGCCCAGTCTCCAGTCGTCTCCCCGCCCAGTGCTTCCCCAGCCTGTTTCCACTACTTCCTCTCACCGCTGAGTTGAACCTCAGGTGACAGATGTTACAGGAAATGAAGAGCTTCTTCTTCAGAGGGGAGGGGACCCCAAAGGTGTGGCTGATGACAGCTTTCTGGACCGGGTCCATCTGTGAAGGGGGTGGGAGGGCACAATAACTCTGGGGTCGGCCCCGGATCGGGGTGGGGCAGTCCAAATGCCCCAAACTGAAGACTATTAGGGAGGGCAGTAGTCCCTAGGAAGAACGTTACCATCCTTGTGATGTTAGACACAGCGAAAGAACCAGCCTCTTCCCTGGCAAACTTTATGTGTCAGCCCGGGCTTCTGCTTGGAGGCAGGGGGGTGGCCAAGGTGACCTCCATGATCTTGATAGAACCATGTCCTGCTGATCACCTTGGCATCTCTTGCTGACCCTCTAGTCTCTGTTTTGTTTTGTTTTTCTCATTCACAAGAATGACAATATTGGGACAGAGAGTTGGGGGCAAGGAGAGGCAGGGAAGGGATCGAGTCCCTCTGTTGGAATGTCCTCTCCCATAACGCAGTCTTGTGCTGGACCTGTGGGCTGGGGAGATCACGCTTATCTTATGAGCTCCACCACTGTCACAGGGCCTGAGAGGGAGAGGACGCCCCTGCCAGGATGGGGCAGGTGACACCCTGGAGGGTTCCCTGAGTAGTAGAATCATTTCTTTGGAATATTAATTTGCATGTCTTTTTCTTTTTCTTATTTTAAATAAGTTTTTCTTTTCTCAAACCAAGCCTTTATGTTCCCCTTTCTCAGTGGCCTAGATTGTTGGGCCAAAAGCAGAAGCTATCTGGGCTTGCTTGTCGAGAACTTTCTGTTCTCTTCTCTCAGGAAGGCTTGGAGAGAGGAGCATGGTTTCAGAAACCCCCCTGAGAACAGAAAGAGGTTCTAATTCTCACAGCAACCAGGGCGGGGGCAGTAGGGGACAGGACCTCAGAGCACGGCCTGCAGGAGCCCCAGCAATCAGGACCACAGCAGCTTCACCTGCCCCTGAGGGACCATGCGGTTGAACAGTGAGCATGTCAGCAAGTGACAGCAGAAACCTAAGACCAGAGGACCCTCCCCAAATGTCTCAGGCTCCTGAGGACCTCTGTGCAACCCTGGAGGGCAGGAAGGAAGGGATGCTGAATTCCCCACCATCTTGTCAGGGTGGGGTGGGGCTAGTTGATAATTGCATTTGATTTTTCAAAATTAAAAAAGGGGGGGCATTTCTTGTCGTTCAAGTAATGAAGTCTAATTGATGTTTTATACTTGTTCTTCACACACATACACACATGGAAATGCACAGACGCGTATACAGACACATAGCACGTGAGTTGACAGACAGTTACAGAGACATGCAGAGTAATACACACTCACACACACACAGTGGCACACAATCACAGACAAAGGCACCATCACCCAACTCACACAAAACATACTCAGAGGTCAGACACACACCAAACACATACATAGTCAACACAAAGACACAAAACACCTCTCAGATACCCAGGCACTCATAATATATACTGAGAAACAAAGAGTTGTTTACAAACACACACACACATAGGACACCAACACACACATTCACACCCAGAAATAACACACAAAGACCTATGGAGACACTAAAACAGAAAGGCATACCCAATTGCACACAGCCATACACAAATCATCCACAGCAGTCCCTATACCAGAACTCAAGTGAAATCTACAGTACAGACCCTACAGGCCCAGCAGTTGTTATTGTGGGAGTGGGTAACACCGTCCTCCTCCCCTAGCTCAGAAAGCTGGGCCTGGGGGTCTCTATTTTGGGAGTGCCTAGTCTCTTGGGGATGTTGGAGGAGAATGAGCTCCTGGTTAGACCCAGCTTCTGAGAGCTGGTCCCTCTGAGCTCACCTTCCCTGCCCACCCCCAACTTGGCTGCATGCCCCCGCCCGCCAGCCCAGCCCGTACCGTGCTGAAGTTGGGGAAGAGACTGAGCGGGGCAGCGCCATTGAAGTGGAAGGTGAGCAAGTGCTTGAAGTCCAGCGGGGGCTGCAGAGGCCTGGCGGGCAGGGGCAGGGAGGCCAGCAGGGGGCTGGGGGCACTGGATGCCGTGCCTGCTGCAGGAGGAAGAAGGGCAGGGTCTGAAATGGGGAGCCACAGGGCAACCCTCCCTCGACAGCCAGAAGAGGCTGATGGTCTCCTAGGCTGTGGAGCCAGGGCAGAGCTCCTGTCTCCTCCCTCTTCACAAAGTAGCACCAGCCAAGCCCAGGTTGATTACAGCCCATCTCTGTGCTTCTCCTCTCCACAGCTGGGGAAGCAGAAGCAGGGAATCCACAGTGTAAGGCTCCCAGCCCAGAAGGATGACCCTCCCGCCCCTACAGAGGCCCAAATGAACCCCTAAGGGGAGTCAGGCCAAGGGAGGGGATAGAGGCATCAGGGTGGGCCCCTGATACACACACACACCACCATGGAGACTACATATGAGCTGGGTTTCCTCTTTATTGTAAATTAAACCCAAACCTAGGAAGCCTGGGGAAAGGTCAGTCCCCTCCCTTCTAACTCCCCCTCTCCAGATCTCCACATCATTCCCAGCAAGGGCTGCCAGAGGGCATGGGAAACCCTTGGGATCTGAAGGGATGTGCCCCCCAGCTCTGGTGGGGCCCCAACTGCTTCCCCAGGAGACACAAAGCCCTCCAATGGCATCCCTGGGTCAGGCCTGGAGGTGGGGGTGGGGGGCAGCACTTTGGTCTTAAAGATTTGAGGCAAGGAACTTGGGGGAACTACCAGACTTCAAGAAAGAAAAAGTTAGAAATAAGTCCAGTTCATTTGGGACTTTTTTGGATACTGTCACTGCAAAGCGAAAAGAAGTCCTTTTAGATTTATGTGTTAACAATATGAAAAATAGGATAGATTTATTTCACATTTATAGATTATGTCTATATACATAAAAGCCTCAGCAGCCTATTGGTGGGAAGGGGAGGGAGGGCACCACTACCTCCCTTGAACTGTTAGCTTGTGCACAGAGAGGGTGCTGTGCTGTGTGTCAAAAACAAGGACAGTGATCTGCTCTCGTCATATCTGAAGAGAAGAGATGCTGCCAGGAGTGGAGCCGAGAAACAGTCAAGGACCACATTCTTCCTTCCCTCAATCTCTTAATTCTGGAGACACAGTCTTCAACCAAGAACCCCCAACCCCAACATTTTTAGGGCCAAAGCTGGGGATGAATTCAGAGAGAAAAGGGTGAGCTACTCCTCACCAAGCTCTAGAATGATCAGGAGCAATATTTAGGGTGCCCCAGACCCTAGCATCTCTGCCCACTTGCCCAGGCCCCCCTTGACCCAGGCCCTCCTCCACAACCCACAGGGCTGGGTTAGTACTCAGTGTGAAGCAGAGGAAGCAGGGGAAGGTGGATGGAAGGCCATGGGTAGTAAGCCAGTTCAGATGCAGCACAGTCAAGTCCAGCTTGGCCCTTAGAATGCCCAGGGCCCCAGTCTGGCTGGGTTGAGGGAAAGAGGGCACCCTTACGTGAGCTGCGACCCCAGCAACCCCTCCCCCCACCCACCCTCTAAGAACTCCACAGCCAGCGCAAAGTCAAACTCGTGCAGCGGGGGACCATCCACAGCGATCTTGACTGCAGGGTCTTCCCGACCTTCCCCGGCCCCGCCTTGCCCCCACCACCGCAGCTCCCGGCTGCGGCCAACCTTGTCCAAGAGGCCTGCGCCCGCGGGCAACACCAATGCCAGGGCAGCAAGGGCGGCGAAGTCGGGGAAGAGCTCGTGCAGCTCGGAGTGCACGCATGCCAACTTGGAGCACAGAGCCCGCGGGCCCAGCCGCCCCAGGCTGCAGACCACGCGCTTGAATAGCGCAAAGTCGCCCAATGCGCGCTGGCGCACCACCGCAGGGGCGTAGGTGCGCAGCAGGAGCCGGAGTGCCCCCTCGCCGTGAGTGCCCAGCTCCTCAGGGGCCTGCGGGTAACGGCGGGGATCGAAGATCACGGAGAAGGCAGCCGCAGCATCCAGCGAGAGCCCCGGGTAGGAGTCCCGCAGTCCCTTCCGCATGGAGTCCAAGAAGGCCCCCCGCAGCTGTTCCAAGCCCCGGACCGCAGCCTCAGAGTAGCCGACCAACTCCAGGCCGCGGTAGGTACAGCGCCCACCGCCCAAGTTGGGACTGGAAGACGCCAGTTCCTGCAGGAAGCCCTGGAGGCGCGCGCCACCAGAGTTTCGCTGCGCTTGGAGGGAGGCTGCAGCTGCCATCACCAGGGGCTGCAGCAAGGCCAAGTCCGGGTCTTCTGGCTGCAGGACAAGGGCGAGCTTCTGCATGCAGGGCAGAGTGTCCAGCAGCAGGTGGGTGAAGGCCACGAAGGTGAACTGGCGCAGGGCGAGGGCCAGTGCCCTAGCTGTTGGTGAGGCTGGGGCTGAGGCCTCCAGTAAGGGCACCAGGCAAGGCCAAGCCTCAGCCACTGCTTCCACGACAGGCAGCAAGGAGGCCCAGGACACTGGCCGTGGTCCTGCCAAGTCGATAGCTGCAAGGTCCAATGCAGCACGGAGCTCAGGGACCATGTGGGAACAGGGACCACCATGGAGGCGGAATAGGGCATCCAGTACACTTTCATATTCACCTAGGTAGGCTGGGGGCTGGGGATCTGGCCTGCCGGGGAGGCAGTGTAGCTCTGTGAGCAGTGGGCAGGTAGCCCGGAGCTGCAAGCCCACACTCCCCAGACGGTCACTGGGGAGGCTTGAGCTGAGCCAGGCTAGCTTGGGTGCAGACACACCGAAGGCCTGTAGGATGTCCAGGAGTTGGCCAGCAGTGACCTCGCCCTCCTGTAGCTCCACACTGCCCAGGAAGATGGTGGCAGGCTGGCCATCGCAGGGGGACACCGAAGTGGCAAACAAGGCCAGACTGTGGGACTCAGCCCAGTCCCTGGTCTTGTCCAACACCAGCCCCACATATGGGGATGCCTTCAGGTACTGGCAGGCCTCCGTGTGCAAGACACTGGCAATGGCCACCTGGGACAGCCAGAGAGAGAAAGGGGGGGCAGAGTTAGGCTTGTCCTGAGAAGGGGAGGCAGACAGTACAGGGTGAGAGAAAGAGCACAGGCCTTGGAGTCAGACAGACTTGGGGACGAATCCTAACTTTGCTACTTACTGGCTGTGTGACCTTGGGCAAGTCATTTCGCCTCTCTGAGCCTGTTTCTTCAGCTTTAAAATCAGGCTAATAGGTGCTCCCAATCTCCTCAAAAGGTTGTGAATTATAACCTTTCTGTTGTGCTCATAAATGTAAAATACTTTATGAACCATAAAGGTTCTGCAGAGTTTGGTATATGTGTGTTTCTACAGCATCACCCAGTCTTCAACTTATTGGGGGTGTGCCTCCTCTCTGCTGTTTAGGGATTACCTGATAGACATGTTCACTCCCCAGGTGTGTGACACAGGGCCCCAGCTGTTTGTCTGTTTGTCATCTTTCTGTAAGATGAGGTCAACTCCCTCACCCCACACAAGCCTCTAGGACTCACACAGCTAGTAGGCACCTAAGCTGCACCGTGCTTGCGCCTAGGGGCTACGTGGGTAACACTGGGCTTGAAGCGGGCCAGGGATAAAACAGAGAGGATAGGAAGTCCGTGCCTGCTTCCCAACTCCACCACTTCATGCCCTGAGAACGGGGACCTAGCTTTTCAGTACAAGTAACGAGTCTAGATTTTTGTATGTAATCTCTCATTTTGTTAAGGTTAGAAACTAACTTAAATTTTGTAAAAACACTGAAAACCAACAAAACACTTCTGTGTGCCAATCAAGCCCCCAGGGCCACCAGGTTGCTATCTCTGGCCTACATAGTGAGGGGAGCCCCTGTGCCCCCGAGGACAGGGCCTGGTCTGACTGCTTCTCTGCTGTGTCCCCAGCAGCTGGCCCAGGGCCTGGCACACAGTACGCTCTCAGTGAGGTTCTGACGGGTAAAGGTATAAATGAAGTGTTCTGGCCACTGCCCAGGGGCTTGGCATGCTGGCACTAGGCCAGATGGCTCAATGTCCTCCCTCCCCAAGCCTTCCCCCATAACTCTGGCTGCCACCCACCTGCATGTCCCTCACCCTCCTGGGACTGTAGTAATCACCATGCTCCGTGCCCAGCAGCGCCTGGCACAGGTTGAACCTCTGTAGCTCAAGTAGGGCAGAGCAGCGGTTGTCGGGCACGTCCTCCTTGGCCATGCAGTACACCGTGGTCAACACAGCCACTTTGGCCGGGTCAACCTCCACCTTGATGCCCCTAGAGGTAGGGGTGGTTGCCAGGCCTGGGTAGGCCTCTCCTCCCTCAGCCTGGCCCTCAAAAGTGGGCTGGCCCCGGTTCACGGCCAAAGCCTGGCGGTGGGCCCCTGAGGTCACGTGGCGCAGCAAGGCATGGCGCTGGAAGTTGTCAGTGCCCACGGTGAAGGCGTTCTCAGCTTTGCCGTGCTTGTTCCGTACCAGGGCCTGGCGGCACTCAAGGCAGAACATCAACTTCCTCTCGTGGTCAAAGTCCAGCCAGGTAAACTCCTCTTTCCAGTGCTCGTTGAAGTAACGCTTGCACTTCTTGTTAGAGTTGGAGGCCTCTCCAGCTGGTTTCTTCCCTGGGGGCACCATTCCTGCTCCTATTCGAGGGGCAGGGCACCCCCCACCCCCGCCCAGATGCTCTAACCTCCCAGCCTCCTCCCCACACAGAGGCACCTCCCTTGATAAGGGGAGTTGGTGGGGAGGCAGGAGAAGGGCAGCCCGCCAGGCTATTGGGGACCATCCATCTAACTTAGCTGGGAAAGTTTATTCCTGCTCCTCCGGTGGGAGACTGGAGATGAAAGAGACAAGGGAGGGGTGTTAGGGAGTCCACCAAGGGTTCACACTGCCCACAGAGCACTCCCCAGCTGAGGGATGGACTGAACCCAATGAGGAAGGGCTATGGGGAGTGGGCAGGGTCATGCAAAGGGCCACAGAGTGTTATCCAAAGTGGGGAGGTATGGGAGCCCCAGCCCCCCCCTTGTCCCTCCATCCAGGACAAGGCATTGTTTCATGTTGACAGCTGAAGCATGTCCGAACTCAGAGCTGGAAAGACCGGCACCGTCTACGGAACCACATTTTATAGGGGAAGGAACTGAGTCCTGGAGACAGAGTGGTTCTCAGGACTCATGAATAATTTGTGGCTGCCCCAGAACAAAAATTCAGACCTCCTGACTTGTTGGCCAAAGGATGATGGATCCCTCCAATGCATGGTCATTTATTTCATCAGAAGGAAATTAGCACAAAGCTGAGCTTCCAGAGCTACGGGATCGAGGAACTGGATTTGTTTTCTCTGGAGCTCCCTTCCCTAAACATACATATGCACACACCAGCACTGTGGTTTGGGGAAGGGTAACCCAGAAGTGGGGGTTGGGCCCCAGACTAAAGGCACCTAGCTGGTTGCCTCTATTTCCCTCATTCTATGTCCCCACTCGGGGTGCAAGGTCAGGATGTGCAGTTCAGGACCAGAAGGCCATGTCCAACTGATGGCCAAAACCTGCCAACCCTGCTTCTTAATTCTCTCCCAGACCTGTCTGTCCCCTCCTCTCCATGCCTACTGATAACAACAGCAGTGACTACCATTTATTGAGTGTGAACAAACTCAGGCCCTGTGCTATGTACTCCAAGAGGAGAACAAGATTCCTCCTGCAGAGACTCTGAGGGTGGTATTATCCTCATTTTGAACGGGGGGAAACTGAGGCTCGGAGACTTTAAGTGATTCGCCAAAGGTCCACAATCAGGAAGTGCCTGAGGCAGAATTAGATCCCAAGTCCTCCAAGGCCACACTGAGACTCAGGCCTGCACCATCTCACCTGGATCATACGGCTGCCTCCACCTCTGCAGTCATCCCCCCAGATTCATCTGTCACAGCAGCCAGAGAGCAAGGCCACTCACAAATCCAACTATGTCACTCCCTTGCTTCCACCTCTTCAGTGGTGTCCTGTTGCCTAAGTGTATGCACCTCACCATGCTCCCCTGTCCCCTCTCCACTGCCCCAAGCCTCTGGACACCTGCAGAGCCTCCCATCCATCACTCCTGCCTGCCCCGTCTGCTTGGCCAACTCCAAATGCTCACCATTGCCACACAGGTCACTGTTACTTTAGCTCCTGCCTTCATCCTCAGTGCCTGAGATTCCCTACCCCTCCTCTTTCCCCGATGAATTTCCATTCATCCCTGGAGAGCAGCTCAGACATCCCCTGTGCTGGTACCTGCCCTCCGGTCTCCCATAATCCCCCACGTGTGAGTCTTCATCATACAATATGGTGAATGCAGGGATTCTCTGTGCATCTCTACATTTGCTTCCTGGAAGGCCAAGGACACATTTGTTCATTTTTGGATCTCTAAGTCCCTGTACAGGGCTGGGCATGCAGATGACTCTCAGCAAAAGTTGGTTGTTTAAAAGAATGAAAGGCCCTGGCTGGTTTGGCTCAGAGATTAGAGCGTTGGCCTGCGGTCCGGAGAGACCCAGGTTTGGTTCCCGCTAAGGGCACGTACCTCGGCTGCAGTTTGTCCCCGGCCCTGGTTGGGTCATGCAGGTGGCAGCCACTCGATGTCTCCTTTTCACATCAATGTTTCTCTCTCTCTCTCACTCCCACTCTATCTGAACAAAAAATAGAAAAATGTCCTCGGGTGAGGATAAAAAAAAAAAAAAAAGAATGAAAGGATTTATTTTGGCTGTATGAAAGGACTTCCTGTTTCTGAGGCTGTTGGCGAGGTGAGTCTAAGCTCTGAGAAAGCAGTGACTGTCTTGTCCACCTGATACTACACCCAGCACCCTGTGTGGAAACTGGCATTTGGTGGGTAGCTCAAATAAGGGCAAAATTCCAGGACAGTATAAGGAAAGGTACTTTGTTGCCAGATGTGGGTGAAACTTGGTCCTCTTCTCCTGGACTATGAGTGGCATTTGCTACGGCTCACCACACCGTCCTTGAAGGAAAACCCTGGTTTTCCTTCCCCACATTGTCACACCTGGGCTTATATTGTCTTCTCCACTTCCTCTTCCCAACCTCAGCCTGTCAAAGAGCTCAGAACCATCTCCGCTGGCCACCCCGAAATTCACAACCTCCGTCTGGGCCACTCCTCTGGGCACCACACCTCTCCATCCAACCACCTTCCTGGTTTATCAATGCAGCGGTTCTCAACCTGTGGGTCGCGACCCCTTTGCGGGTCAAATGACCGTTTCACAGGGGTCGCCTAAGACATAACAGTAGCAAAATTACAGTTATGAAGTAGCAATGAAAATAATATAATGGCTGGCGGTCACCACAACATGAGGAACTGTATTAAAGGGTTGTGGCGTTAGGAAGGTTGAGAACCACTAGACTCTAATGGAATGCTCACTCTGTCCCTACAAAATATGCTCCTTTCCCAGGTGTCCCCAGTCCAGGAAATGGTCCATCCTCCTACCCAGGTGCTCTGGCCAGGAACATGCCCCTCTAAGCCCCACTCTCTTCCACATCCAGGTCCTGGTCCTGTTGATTCCACCTCCACAATCTACCTCTAACTCATCGCTTTTTTCCATGCTGCTGCCACTGTCCTCAGCTAGGCCATTTTCATCTGTTGCCTGGACGATGCCAGTTGCTTCCTGATGGCCCTCTGGGTTCCTACTCTTACCCATCTCTGAGTCATTCAAACCCTAGCAGCTGGAGGGGGCTTTTAAAAGCATTGCTTTAAAATCCTTCCACTACAGCCTGTTGCTCTGAGGCCAGTGCCAGAATCCCTTTCCAGGTCTGCCAAATAAATGCCCAGGCGTTGCTGATCTTGCTGGCAGCCACCTGTCTCTCCCGCCCCTTCCAGCTATACCTGCCTTTTCTTGGTTCCTCCAGAGCCAGATTCCCGTCCTCAGGGCCTGTGAATATGCTGTATTTTCTTCCAGAATGTTTCCACCCCCCACTTCCCCTCTGGTCCTAGTTTAACTGTCCCATATTAAATTTTTTTTCCCTTTATTGATTTTAGAGAGAGGAAGTGAGAGGGAGAGAGAGACAGAAACATCAATGAGAGAGAACATCGACTAGCCGTCTCCTGCATGCCTCCCACTGGGGATCAAGCCCACAATCTGGGCATGTGACCTGACAGGGAATCAAACTGGTGACCTCTCGGTGCATGGGTCGACACTCAACCACTGAGCCACACCGGCCAGACAGCTGTCCCCTATTTAGAGGAGGCATCTCTAATTATCCTTTCCTAGGGAGTGCCCTTCTTTTTTGTCACTACCCCGATTGTTCCCTCCATCGCTCTCCTCAGTTTACAAATCTGCTTGCTTATTTCAGCGCAGGTCTGTTGTCTCTCTCTCTCTCTTTCTCTCTCTCTCTCTCTCTCTCATTCCCTGGGGGTAGGAAAGGTAAGTTTCCTGTTCATTACTGAACCCCAGAGAAGGGAAAACAGCGCCTGGCACCCAGCATATTGACACACACTTTGGGGAGTGAATGAGGAAGGAAGCATGAGCTCTCAGGCAGAACGAGCAGTGGAGTGGACCCTTGGGCACCTGTTGGGTGGTTAAAACAACCGACTGACACCCTTTCCTTCCAGAATCCTGTGATTCAGTGCCTTGTACAGCCCACCAACCAAAGGGTCTTAGAATGGGGGGGGGCAATTTTGGCCAAGGTGGTCCCTTCTGGAAGTTTGTCAGAGCCTTTCCACGCACCTAGAAACGGGCTCTCCTGCCCCATTCTGTGGAGGGGACAAAATGACTGTCAGACCTAGGACGTTTTTAGTAAAGATCAAGAGTAGGTAGGAAGGATGCACGGAAAGATGGAGATTCTGGAATTGCACTGTCCGCTGTGGCCGCTAGCCAAATGTGGCTGTTGGAAATTAATTAGAATTAAATTAAAACATTTTAAATTCAGTTCCACAGTTCAAATTCTCCAGAACAACATGTGGCTAGTGGCTAGCAGCTATTGTATCAGCTCAGAGAACATTTACAACACCCCAGAAAGTTCTATTGGACAATGCCACTCAAAAATCAAAACAAAACAAATGGACAAAAGCCTCTGACATCCCCTACCTCACCCCGAGGGAACGGGGCTGGGTGGAACGTGGTCCGAAGCTGAGGGGTCTCAGACCCAGGTCCCCCACACCTCTCCTACCCTGGGGAGCAGGATGGGCACAGGCACAACTTGCATGCCCCTGGGGCCATGGTGTTTAGATCTGCCACCCCTACTCCACCCAGCACGTAAGCCTCAAACATAGGGTTTATTTAGCCCCAGGATGGTGGTCCCCAGCCTCCTCCCCAGGCTCCTGTGGGCCCCTTCCTTTTGGGACCCTACTAAAAGAGTCCAAGCTCCAGGCAGAAGAGACGCGGGCAACCCCTCCCCTGGCAGCCTGAGCGAGGCTAGGGCTCTCTGGGGTGGGAAGGAGGGCAGGGAACCTCTGGGGGCGCGTAGGGGAGGAGCCCTGGATGGGTCCCCGAGGCACCGTCCCTCGCTGGCCAATGCCCACCGCCTGCAGGGCCCCCAGCCCCTGTCGCCCGCCCCTGCCGGGCAGCTCCAGGAGGGGACGCCCGAGGCCCGGCCCCCTGCCCTGGCCGCACACACTCACGGAGACGCGGGAGCCACCATCTTGCGCAGTGGACGCTCTGGCCTCGGTCTCCTCGG